AGATAAATTATAATTAATATAGATATCTAACTTTCTTAATATCAATTTGAAATTATTGTAAATATTGTATTTCTATTATAATGTTGATCAGAAGTAATATACATGTTTAATTTTTAATAGATAAATTCCAATTGATATAAATACCCAGGTGATAGAATCGTATTGTATGATCTCATACGATTCATAGAAGATCATATAAGAACGTACGACTGATCTTACATGATCATAGAAGAACATATGAAAGTCATATATGATCTTGTAAGATTCTATATGTCCACCTCAAAGCCATCTTTTCTGATGAAATCGTACTGTACGATCCTATATGATCTTACTGTTAGATCTTATACGATCTTATAAGATTCATGTATGATTTTCCAAAGTTGCATACAAAGGTGTATAACTTATTTTCTCCCCTTTCGTTTTATACCGTTTTCCACTTTAACGCCTTTTTATCTTAAATTCACTGAAAACATCAAATAAATAATTAAAGTTAAATTTAGTTATTTATTTCATCAAATAAATATTTACTTTGCTTTGTGAAATCGTCGACTTTATCTAAAATAAAAGACAACAGATAGTTTAAATTAAATAATACTCAATTTATTTGCACAAAGCATTCATAACATCTAAAATTGAAAAAATATTAACACAAATAAATAATTTCTTTATTTCTTGTAGCTGTCAATATTATCTAAAAGAAAATAAAACATAATTTAAATTAAAGAAACACTTTTCTGTATATTAATTGCAGATATCATCTAAAATAAAAAAGGACAAATCAAATGAAATGAATACTCACTTTATATGGATTGATCGTTGGCATCTTCTAAAATAAAAAAAACACAATTTAAATGAAGTAAATACTTACTTTATCTGATCTAATCATCGATATTATCTAAAATAAAAGTATAATTTAAATCAAATAAATAATAATCACTGTTTTTCCCATCGTTCATTGATTTCATCTAAAATCAAAAGACAATTTAAATTAAATAAATACTTTATTTAATTTGATCGTTGCTATCCTCTAAAATAAAAAATAATATAAGCTAAATAAGGACTCACTTTATATGAACAATGGGTTGACATAATCTAAAATAAAAAATAACTTCAATTAAATAGATGCTTACTTTATTTAGTCTACTCATAAATATTATCTAAAGTAGAAATAAATAAACAATTTAAATTAGATAGATAGTTCTTTTTTTCGGATTGGTCGATGATATCGTATAAAATAAAATATAATTTAAATTAAATATATACTTCCTTGAGCTGTATAGATGTTTAGTAAATGGTTTTCTTGCATTGTTCGGCACACTTTATTTAGTTCTTTTAACGAACTGGTTTATTTTAGTTTCAAATATGCTTGTTTTATTTATGCATATGAGTAATTTGTATGGCTTGTGATACACATATATGTCGTATCAAGGTTACGCCGGTCGACGAATTTATAACTTTGTAGTCTCATATTGACGAAGCTACAAGGTCAACGGAAAAATTTGTCGAAGTTAGTTCTAATTCACTCGTCAACAAATAATTTACTGGATTGAATGTTTTATTGTTGAATATATAACAAAAAAATTCTCTTAACGAATATTATTATTTTAACAATATTATTAAATATATAGTATTTATTAATAAAAAAAAAGTTTTTTGAGCATACATTCAGCAATAGAACATTTAATTTATTAAACTATTTATTGACTAGTGAATTAGAAGTAACTTTGACGCATTTTTATTTGAAGTTACAACTTCGATACGACATATATAAGTAAAAAAACAAATTAGTAAAAAGCTAAAATTTCAATTGTTTTTTTTACTGAGTTATTTTTTATTTTTGAACTTTATATGTTTGTTGTTGTTTTTTGAAGCCGTTTCGAAACTAATAAATAAACAAAATTAAATGGTAATAGTTTTAATTAAATGTCATTTGAAATATCAAAAACACAATAGAGTTAATATATGAGCTCGGTAGATTGAAACTAATTTGAGTTCAGTTTTCATTGAAGAACCACTGGCTAAGCTTTTGTCGGACTTATCTTTCTTAAATTAATCAAAATAAAAATGTTGATTTATGTCAATCATTTTTCAGTACTTCGAAATGCACAAAACAGTTCTAATATGTACGCCTAGTTTTAAAAAGTGCATGGATTAGTTTAGACTCCTTGAAGCGAGACGGATACCGAAAGAATAGAAATTTCTCAAGGTTTTTACTTCTTTCAATGCTTAAATCAAACGGCTCTCTCCTCTCCGTCATTCAAAGTGTATTTTATTTATTTATTAGAGAAGAATCTCTGAATAAAAGTAATATTTAAGTGCATGAAACTATTGTTAAAAAGACTGTTTATATAAGACAAATCTAAAATTATGATCTTATAAGATCATATAAGATCTTATAAGATTCCAATCATCAGATTTTGTAAGAATCTTACAGTAAGATATTTGTATGATTTCATAAGCTGATACCATATGAGTCTTACAATACCTGATGTCAGTAAGATCTTATACGATCTGTGTATGATTTTTTCACCTGGGTATCTAATTTTTGACGATTTAATGTAAGTATTTCATTTTTTAAAATATCAATTCAAATGGATATAAATATTGGATTTTCAGATGTTAAGCAGAATTAATATGAACCTTTGATTGTTCTAATATAAACTGGAACTGATGTAGGGATATGTTTTTTTTTTAGTATCAACTAAAATTAATATAACCATTAGATTTCTCAAATATCCATTGAAATTAATGTAAATGCTTTATTTTTTATAATTTGAATTCGAATTAATATTAAAATTTTATTTTAATCAGATTTATTTCAATTAATATAGATACTGGGCTTTTAAAATATCAATCGAAATTAATATAGACATTCGATTTTTATAATATCAATTGAAATCAATAAAAATATTTGAATTATACAATATCATTTTGAATTCATATAACCATTTCATTTTTATAGTATTGATAGTATTACTATAGATATGTGTTATTGAAATACAATAATGGGAGAAATATAAACATTTGAATTTTATAATGTCAAATGAGAGTAATATAAATAATAGTTGATTTCTATAACATTCATTAGAACTCTTATATATATTTGATTTTTATAAAATCAATTGAAATTAATATAAATATTTGTGTTTAATAATAAAAGTTGAATGTAATTTAAAATCATATATTTTTTCCTTGTATTTTTTTGAATCAATTTATATAAGTTATTCGCATGTTTCACTCTTCAGTTTAAAAATTTTTCTATAACTTTAATAAAGAAAACCAGTCTAATATAAAGAATCGATAGATGAAAAGAAAATGTTAGTGTAGAATATAAAATGAGTTTTTGATTAACTACTTATTTCTAACATAATCTCTTTTTCAATAAGAAATAAAAATGTTCAAGTGTTGAAGAACATGTCACTCCGTTTGATTGTTATTACCGGCATTGATCATTTGATTATCATTAATGGCATTGACTATTTGATTGTTATTACTGACATTGAACATTCATCGCATGACTTGTTCTTTTTCTTATATGTTGAAAAGTGTTTGTTTGATGTTTCGCTTCTCCTCTTTTTTATTGCTATATAAAAAAAATGAACGATCTTCTATTATCATTCCTGACGATGTGTCACTGAATGTAACACGAAAGCTTGAATCCTTTTATTTCTGTTTGAAATAAATATATAAAAAAAAATGTTTTTTGCAGCAGTTATCTCTTTATTTTCATATTTTTTTCCTACTGCTCACTCTCCTAAATTTATTTCTAATCTTCGCTTAAAATATGGCGAATCGATTCTGGTAAGTATACGACATTGTGAAAGATTAACACAAAAACTACAAAAAGCTAAATGTGATGTAGAATTTCTTCGATGTTGCTTAATCTATAATTTAATGCCTAATTTTGTTAATATCCGTCTGTGGAAACCTGGTCTTAAAAAGTCAGAACAATATAAATCTCTTCAACGTACCTGTCTTATGCGTGAATTTGAGTGTGGACAAAAACAAGCGAGCCGATTCGAAAAACAAATTTCATTAATCATGACTGAGTTAAAAAAACATCTTTCTTCAATCGATTATATTAATATAAAGAAGTTCTTTTATAATTCAGCATGTCGAGTACATTCTACAGTTATGAGTAATCACCAAAAAAAACTTGAAAAATTAAATCGAGGTCCTATCGGACAAAATTACGAAGAAATGAAATTAAAATTAATTCATAATATATCATCATATACTCTTTCAAAGGTAGAAGAAAGATTATTATGTCGTGGTTGGGATTTTTGTGTAGAGAATAAAATAACGAATTTCTTAGACTTTGAAACAGATTTAGAATTAAATGCAATGAAACTACAACCTCATTGTCATGAGTCAATTTTTCGATCTATTTGTCGTCAGATACATAATGCTTCACAACAGTTAATACGTACATCTAAACATAAGAAAATAAGTAATTTATCAAAGGAAGAATTAGCAGCGTTAAAATCACTAAAATCTAATAATAACATAATTATATGTAAAGCCGATAAAGGAAATTCTATTGTAATACTTGATAAAGAAACTTATATGAAAAAAGCTGAGGAAATACTTAAAGGAAAACAATTTGAACCATTAAATAATGATAAATTTCATCGAGAACAAGAAGAAAAATTGAATAAATATATTTTCTCATTATTTAAACAAGGAGTCATAGATAATAAACTTCGCTATCAACTACAATCGACATGTTCTTCCCTTTCAGTCTTTTATGGTCTTCCAAAAGCACATAAAACTGGTTATCCTATACGTCCTATAATATCAACTATAGGTAGTTATCAATATGAATTATCAAAATATCTAGCAAAAGCAATTAGAAATGCACGTCCACAAGCAAAATCATACATAAAAGATTCTTTTGAATTCGTAAAAAGAATAAAAGAGATAACACTAGAAAAAGAAAAAACTTACATTATGTGTAGCTTTGATGTAGAAAGTTTATATACGAATGTTCCAGTTGAAGAAGCAATAGAAGTAACACTGAACTATATCTATAAACCAACAAAATTAGTAGATGTTCCTTTTGATAAAGAACAAATGAAAACACTCTTGGATCTATCGATAAGAGACTCAACTTTTAGATTTCAAAATAAAATTTATAAACAAATAGATGGAGTAGCGATGGGTAATCCTCTAGCACCTATTATTGCCGATTTATGGATGCAAAAGATAGAAGAAAAATTAAATAGATTTAGTACCAACAAACCGATGATTTGGCTAAGATATGTAGATGACATTTTCTGTATATTCACTATTCCTAAAGCGAAAATTAATGAATTCCATATACGTATTAATAAGTGGCATCGTAATCTACATTTCACTGTTGAATTTGAAGATGAAAACTCCATCCCATTTCTTGACGTTCGAGTAACTCATACAGAAGATAAACTAATTACATCAATGTATCGAAAACCAACTCATACAGGTTTATATTTGTTATGGGATAGTAATCAAAGTCGTCGTTATAAACTTGGACTCATAAAAACACTAGTAATACGTATATACCGACTTTGTTCAACTAGAGAAATAATAAATAATGAATTAGATCTACTAAGAAAAACATTAACTAACAATGGATATCCACCACATATTATAAAACGAGGTATTACTGAAGGAGAGATACTCATTAAGACAATGTCTCAAACTAAGAAAGCCGAAGATAAAAACAAAAATGTTATATTCTTCACGATTAAATACTATGGACAAGAATCTATAATATTTGCTTCTCGAATAAATAAATTATGTAAAAAATTACTTCCTAACCTGAAAATTCAATTTGCATTTAAAAAACATATGAGCATAAGAAGCATCTTTTTACCAAAACTTAAAGGAATTGATGAAGAGAAAAAGAAAAAGAACTTAGTATATTCTATTCCGTGTAAAAATTGTGATAAAATCTACATTGGAGAAACTAGTCGAATGAAGACCACCCGTATGAAAGAACATGAAGCTAAAATAAAAACATTATCATCGGATTCTAAACTGGTTGAACATATTCTGAAATATCAACATAGTTTTGACTT